CTAAACTTGGGGCTCATGTGTTAAAATACGAGATGGGGGTCGGCAGGTAGTGTGGTGGTTAAGGGCATTGTACTCCCACATGGCCAACAGCGGTGTAAGCCCCAGACCTCGAGGCTTGCTTTCTCACTTTCCTTCTCTCCCTCACTCTCTCTCTCTCGCTTGCTTGCTTGCTCTGTCCCTCTGATCAAAATAAAATAAATGGATAAATGGATAAATAAAATTAAATATAATATGGAAGCTCTACTGGGACAGAAACCCCAAGGAATCCACCCCTGTTGTTTCTAGTTTTGACTTCATCAAAACCCAAACATAATAAAGAGTAGTAACATCTCCAGGATTTTGAAGGCAAGCAGTGCTGACCCTGCCACTATGCATGACAACATTTTAGTTGAGAAATGTTTGACCTTCAGGTGAGAAATATTTTAATACTTTAATAAACTGAGAAAAAAAGGTTTTTAAAAATCAGACAAAAAACTAAGCCTCTTCTTTTTTGCCTTCTTTTGTTTTTAAGATGACTGAACATGAGTGTTTCTCCCTAACTAACTGGTTAATTGTCTTTGGTTGTTTTAATGTATTCCTAGTCATTTTAACTTTTAGTTATTTCTTTCAGTGCACTTGCAGGGAAGAATAAACTTTTGAGGTTGGCATCAAAGGCAAATCTCTATAGTCGATAGCTATTATTTTAATGGTAAACTATCATCACCATACTCTTGCTTTTGGACACTTGACTACATTATTTTAGTAAATGTAAGCATGTCCATCATTCAAATTGAAACCATAAGCAACTATCCATTTATATATTTTATTTCTTATTTAAAAAAAAAAAGCCACACAATAGAAACAAACTGACAAGAAGCAGGTTTTTGGGCAAATTCCAGGATGTTAGAGGATGAGGCAATGTTAGACCAGTCCATTTTCTACCCCTTCCTGAGCTCCAACACTGTAAGTGAAAATCAATGTCCATTAGGACAAGCCGAAGACCATGCGAGGTGGTCAGTGCTCTTCTGGATTGTTGCTATATTAGCTATCATTTTAGTTCTAGCTGTGTTTAATTGTTTTCTAATAGCTATTAGCAAGATACCAGATAAATGGTTGTTTGCTGCACTAAAGTATAGTTAATAAGTTTAATGAGGTCTGCAGAAGTACAATACTACCGGCAGGCTAACTGACCATTTCCAGGCCAACTCTCAGCCTGCTCTCATCTTTATGTTTCGGGTGACAAAACTTCAACTCATGAATATTCTCAGTAATTGCATGCCACTTTTTAGATTCCTGCTCTTGTGCTTGAGGGCCTAGACTGCCATCTTCTTTCATTTCAAACTACCTTTTCTTACACAGTTCTCTTCTAGCCTCATGGCACATTATCCTCGCACTCTGTTGAGAAAATCAGAAGGACTATCTGAACCCATCTGTAAGTCCTCAACAGGGCACTATGATTTAGAAATCTGCACATAATGCATGGAGGACCACTGTGTCTTAGTGATGCAGTGTGATAATCCAATGGTTTTTAGATGTGAGAAGTTAACTTTTGTTTTTCAGAGATGATGTTATACAATCCAAAATGAAGAAAGTACAGTTTTATGAACCTCTTCCAAGGTACAGCCTGTTCAATAATATAAATATAATGAATCACCTAAGCCCATTTAATTCTTTAAAAATAAATAAATAAATTACAGGCCACACCAAAAGTCATTCTGATATTTCTGTATTTAAGTTGTTTGTTTAGATTGTCTCAAGGTGAGCACCCCATAATTATTATGATTTTACCTTAGTCTTCTTGATGACTCCATGTCTCTCATAAAAGCTTAGGAAATCGTCCAATATTTATAATAACTTGAAACTAGCATGCACTATATTGCAGTAGAAGAGACATTGTTTTATTTGCAGTCACCATCTCACACACATTTACTGTTAACAGTGTTCCAGGGAGCACAGAAAACTGTCCTACAAATTTCGTACTATCTAGGAGAAAGCAGATATCAGATGAATTCTTACCTACAACTCTTATTTTAAGAAATGCATCATTCTTAATCCAACTCACCTATGTGTTAAGAATCTACTCTACTTCAAGTGTTACTATAGATATAAAATATAATCTATTTTTATTATATAGATCAATTCTTACATGGTTCTATACAAGTTATTTTAAAAATTCATAAAATTATATATTTCCTTTTGTATTTGAAAAGTTGGAAATGATTTGTTTTTCAGATAAAAAGAGGCATTTTCTTCTACTTCATTTTGGAAGTTTCCTATGAATCATCTGCACTCCCACCTATTGTTTCTGTGAAGAAATTTTACCTTTTTAAAAAGTTGTTAAAGCCACGTGGGATTCACTTAGAATCCACGAGAATGTTGTCAGAATTATGTTCAGACATGTAATTTTTTCCAAGGGACCCAACTGGTTTTGGACTGCCAGGATCAGGGCAAGGAATGTGAGAACACCTGAGTCACAGAGCAGCAGAGGAATGAGAAGCAAGAGAATTTGGCATGTGGCATACTCACCTAACAGGCAAATAACAGTCAGGTAAACATGAAGAGAAAGTGACAGAGCCTTCTGCAAGAGTCAAGTCAACTGAGCCTCAAGGCTTCATGGTGAAGGAAGGGATTCTAGCTGAGATGGGCTGGTAATGCCCTGGCCATGCCAGAGAAGCAACTGTCCTTCGGAGGGGACAAGGGGACAAGGAGAGGACAAGGCAGTTCCTATGCCCTTATCCCAGTGGTAAAGATTTACAAAGGATGCTAAGAATAATGACCTGTTTACCCATTAGTTCCCTGCCCAAGGATGGATGTGGATTTGGGACTGGGAAGCAAATGGGGAGGAGGAGGAAAATATTTTTAAGAAGAATATAGAAGAAGGAAACTCAGCTGAAATTTAGAAAGTTCTAAATCACGTGTATACCTTTTCAACTTGATGTATTGTTACTTCTAGATTATTCCCTTTCCAACCATAGAAATCATAATTATTAGTTTATGGGTCCTAATTGGGCATTACCACAGGATATAGCTTCTCATTTTATATTTTAAGTCCCCAAATTTTAGGATTTAAGACAAAAAAAACTGTTACAGCTAATAAATACTACCCCATTATAGATTTGCAGAGAGAGATTTTTATTAATAGTAACCTACACTTTAGATAAAAGCATGAGATAAACAACTAAAAAAATAGTTTCTTTAGTAAATCCAGAATAATCACCTTCTTATAATCACCTTCTTATATACATGAGAACTATGACTTTCTTCTTAATTAGGTTTAAAAATCACTGTGAATATTAGTTCATTTATGGAAATAAATAAAAATAGATCATATATATATAAATATATACACATACATACATACATACGTATATGTATCAGAATCCAGTCTGCTTCCCTAATGATATCTCTAACAGACTTCAAGACATATTTAAATATAAAATTTTCACAAACCTCATTTTACTATAGCTCAAAAACAAAGCTCCGGTCTAACCCACATATGGAGTGTTAGGTTATTCCTCACATAAAATTTTTCAGTTTTGATATACACAACCCATAGTTTGGATAACCCTAACATATACTTCTCAGATTAAAAGAAAACACACAGATACACAGCACTTTTAAAAGAAAATGTGGTCAATGGATGAAATTTCGTAGTCCCTTAAATTTTTCTACCTGGCGAAAAGTAGGATAGTATCTCTACAACTAACCAAAGTAAAGAAACTGCGTTCCCTCTCAGTGACTAACTCTCTGTAAGAGCTTGTTAGCTGTATGATTCTTGAAGGTAATGCTTTGTCTTTATATTTACCTACAAAAATTCAGAGTATTTCTAAATCTAGAATTATAGAGGGAAAGTGGCCAACTAAAGGAGGAAAAAAAATATATTAATTTACATTCTAAGATCCCAAGACCCTAGAAAAACCTATGTAGAACTCTCTAAGATCTGTAAGATATCTCAGTAACTGTTAAAGTCTTTTACAATTGCTTCAGAGATGGTTTTAAATAACCAGATGCATCCTAAGTCACCATTCACAGTACTAAAAATACAGCAATGCTTTAACAACAGGCTTTTTATGATTCATAGTTCTGATTAGGAGTTTTAAGAGCCATGAAATATACGTAAGTGCACACTTCCCTGAATCTGCCTTACAAAGCCTCCTTTTATAGTTTCTTGTATCTTTCAGTCTGCGAAAAGTCATCATAAGTATGACTGAGGAAGTACAAGTGTCATTGTCTGCATTCTTCTAAATTAGCATAGATACAATAAGAATATTTTTTCTCTAGTAAATAGCAAGAGAGCTGAGAAAGTCTACCAACTGATATTTCTGAGCATTTTCCACTTCCTTCTAAAAGATGAAAAATCACATCAGACAAGGAACATAGTCCTTAGATTAGTGACAGGTGTGGAACAAGCACACCAGTCAGCCTTTATTTTCAGCGTTGGGAGGCATGCTCAGCGACAGAGGGAACAACTTTTTCACTGAACTGACATGCATCATATTATTTCTTCATCTACACATTACAAAGCAGAAAAGGTCCCAAGCAAGAAAACTATCTGCTCCTCACTGAACACCAGGCTATTCTTAAAAGGTAAAAATCAATCAGTATTAAAGAGAAAGGAGGATGATGATGTTGATTACAAATCTAATTTGAGAATCTGTTTAATAAGAAGGAAGAAAAGTTGTGCCCATTCTCATACTCATTTCTCTAGACCAACAAACTTATTTAGGGGATGAAAATGTAGAAGGTTTATTTAGAAGTAAAGTGATTTAGATCTCAGGGCAATAATATAGTTCAGGAAACACTTAAAGCTAAAGTAGAAACTGGATGTTACAAAAGTAAGTTTTGAAAGTAATAAGAAAGCCCTCCCACTTCTTAGAATACCCACCAAAAACTAATTTCTTAGTTCTAGTTTCTCTTTTGCCCAGCCAAATAAAAACACTAGAGATGCAGAATTATGATACAGGTAAATACTGGAAAATGGGAGAGTAAAAGTATCCGTAGCGCAAGTTTGGATTTTTTACCTGCTCTGATCCCAGTTGGCCGCAAATAGGACGAGAATCTTCCTGCCATAGTGGTCCAGATTGGCCAGACCCCCAGGGAAGCCGTCCTTCAGTGCCTGCTTGATACCAGGATCAGTGGCCTTGAAGCTTTTGAACATGTCCAGGTTCTGCTGCCGGTACTCGAAGTACTGAGCCAGGAGGCGGAAGGCCTCAAAGTGATGAAACTTCCTGGCCCGTAAGAAGCGCAAGATGAAGGCGTCATCCGTGCGCAGAAAACCAATGTCCGGCCTGGTGATGACCATATCCCTCACCTCCTGGATGTCCTGGTGCAGCGTGTCTGGGTTCTCATTGAGCTCCAGGCGAGCTTTCTCCAGGGTCTCTGGAGAGAGACCAGCTTGTAAGTGAGTCATGGTGCTGCTTGTTCCTGGGTCTGCTTTGTGGAAGCTCTTGTTGCCAGTCCCACAACAAACCTGGTGCTCGCTGCCACCACCTCCTCGCAGCTGTCTGCTTCCTCTCTTTAACAGGAAATGATTACTGTTGGTGGCCAATCAAGTACCCTGTTGCTCCTGCTTGCTTTGCCACAGCTTTACCGTAGGGGGTATAAACTTCTTCCCCAGCCCCCTAAATACAGCGCCCCACTCTGTCTCTTCCTTTTTCCTGTGAAGTGATGTGGACTTAGAATGATCCAGTGCTCCTCTTCTGGTCTTTTCTGTCTCCCAACAAAACCACCCCTAATCCCACCTAGCAGGGGTGGTTCTGATCTTGGTACTCTCCTCTTCTCCTCTCTTCCAAGATGTAACAAAAACAACCCCCACGCACATCTCAGCCTCGGCACTGTAATGCTTCTGAGATCCCTCCTGAAGGAGATGCCTGCCAGGGATAAGGATGGGAATTCTGATTAATAATAAGGTGGCTCTTCAGTTGGCCAGGGCGGGGAGAAAGCGTCTTTGCCAGAAAGAAAAAGAGAGAGAGAAAAGGAAGGAAAGAAGCTTATTTATCCCTCTGCTTATTCAAACATGCTATTTTTACAAGGTGTATTTGTGGGATTTTATTTAAGATTTTTATGATCCAGTTAGGAGACGACTCTGCAGAGAGCGCACGTTCCCTCCTCCCCTCTTAGATACACTGTGATCTCATATGGCACCTGCAGGGTCTCGGTGGCATTGGCACCAGCGTGGGCTCCCCCGAACCCCACCCCCAACTTCTGCCTTCCTCTAGCCTTTTATTTCAACGGGCTTGCCGTGAGGGAGTGGGGGTGGAAGAGGATGTCTCTGGGAATGTACATTTCAAAAACGAGGGTGAGAAGAGGAGGGAGTTGTGGAGAATAGAATAAAAATGTCTCTATCTTTTCTACAAAACCCCAAAGCAAGAAAGAAGAAAGAGCAGCCGGCTCCTACCAGCAAACCCGGAGGCGGGGACACTAAGCAATGCGGCACTCCCTGGCATCCATCAGCCCTGGCTTCGGCGGCGGCGGCGGCGGCGGCGGC